ACCTCGACCCGCCCCGCCTCCCGCAGCCGCCGCTCGCCGCCGTGTGCCGCCGCCGCCACTTGCCGCGCCGCCCGCCGCCGACGCCACCTCACCCCGCCGGAGCCCTGAGTCCCGCCGGAGTCCGACGAGGTAGCCGCGCCGTCCGCCGCCGGTTTTCTGAAGAAAACCGATTCAGTTTTTTTGAAAACCCTAGGTTTTATTTTATTTTTATTATTATTAGATCGGTTTTATCGGTTCACTTATTTAGCGAGCGTTCGCTTGTTCGTTCGTTTTAACGGACGAGTTCACCGTTTAGTTTCAGTTAACGAACGTTCGTTCGTTAATCTGTTCGTCAGTTTTTTTCCTTTTCGCGGATTTTCCGCGATTATTTCTGATCGCGATTTCTGATCCAATTTTTGTTTTAGTTTAACTTTTTGCTCGTTTATCGGAATCAGGTGATTCAAGCGCCTAGAGTTTCGTCTCGAAACCCTCTTTTCGTTTAACCAACTCAAACAAGTTTTTTGCTTCTGTAAAATTTGACTTAGGTCCAGATTAGTAATCGAAGCTTGTTTTTTTCGCCGTTTGACTTTCGTTGTTTCGTTCGATTTGTTTCTTTTTGCAAACCGGAGTTTTTAAGTTGAACTTTCTGGTTAGATCTCTTATTTGAGTTTTAACTGTGCATTAGATGAGTGCTTATTGTGTGCTTGTTTGTTTGCGATAGAGTACCCAGAGTGCGCCGCTTGCTACTTCGAATCTCTAGGTTTCACGGATCATCAGCAAGGCAAGTAACACTTTGATCATACCTCTTACTACCCAGTTTTATTGTATTAGATCAATCCTCAAACAACTGCATGAATAGGATCTGATTAATATGTGGGTTTTGGGAAGTAGTTAAGGTAGTACCTACTACCTATTTTATTATCTAACCCTGGGAGTTACTTCTGCGTTTGCTTATGTCATGCTATGCTTGTAGACGTGGATTGGGTTTGAGAGTATTTCATGACAGATGTGAGGTTGTTAATTAATGGTTCAACTTAAGGTGGCAACTTAAATACACATCTGGGTGGATTGAGGCACCTGGGTATTCCAGCGATTGCCTGTTTTTCTTTATGGACCGCCACCCAGGCTCAAAGGGATCATGAGATTATTCATACTAGAAACTTCTGTGTGCAGCCACAAGCTACTATGGGCTCTAGCATAGTTGATTAAGTCGTGCAAACTCTTACAGTGGTAGACTAGCAGATGTAGAGGAAAGTAGGTGTAACGGTCTACCCAATCATAAGGTGGTAGCGCTCCTGAAAGACTATCTCTTGGTCATCCGTTTCTCAAACACCATGTAGTGCGAGAATCCCAATGGAGGAGATCGAGTCTTGTGTGGAAAAGTGCACAAACCTCTGCAGAGTGTATAAACTAATCATGGTTAGCCATGTCCCCGGTTATGGAAAATTTTGAGTATCTAGTACTTGGATTATCATGTGAATCTCATCATGTGACTTTAATTAATTTTGTTGGGTTTTAATGATGATGTTTAATTGGGATTGAGAGGGTGTCTACACTCTCAATGTTTAACAACCACCATGATAGTTAAGTAAAATTTATTCCTTTGCAGTAGGGAAAATTGGCTTTATGCAAAACTGTAACCATAGAGCTTTCCACCAGCCATATATGCATGTAGTATAGCCTGTTTCTGTTCACTACTCTCTATGTGTTACATTGCCAGCATATTCCATGTGCTGACCCGTTTTCGGGCTGCAACGTTCATGTTGTAGACTTTTCAGACGACGAATAAGGAGCCTTAGGTCGTGGTTCTATACTCAGTGATGCCGTTGGAGTTGATGGACTCACTTATCTTCCAAGCCTTCCGCTGTTATCGTTATTAGATGGCCTTAAGCCATATTATTTGTAATAAGTTCTCTTTGGAGACACTCGATTTAATAAGTGTGTGATTGCTACTCTGTTATAAATCCTTCAAGTATTGTGCGTGCCAGCATTACTGATTGTAGCGACCAGACCTCAAATGGTCCAATCTCTGTGCTCCGGTGTCATCCCTGGATCAGTAATGTTGACACCACACAGTACTTGACGGATTTATAACAGAGTAGCAATCACACACTTATTACATCGAGTGTCTCAAAAGAGAACTTATTACAATAAATATGGCTTAAGGCCATCTAATAACGATAACAGCGGAAGGCTTGGAAGATAAGTGAGTCCATCAACTCCAACGGCATCACTAAGTATAGAACATGACCTAAAGGCACCTTACTCGTCATCTGAAAAGTCTGCAACATGAACGTTGTAGCCCGAAACGGGTCAGCACATGGAATATGCTGGCAAGGTAACACATAGAGAGCAATGAAAGAATAAGACTATACTACATGCATATTTGGCTGGTGGAAAGCTCTATGGTTACAGTTTTACGTAAAGCCAATTTTTCCCTACTGCAAAGGAATACATTTTATTTAACTATCATGGTGGTTGTTAAACATTGAGAGTGTAGACACCCTCTCAATCCCAATTAAGCATCATCATTAAAAACCCAACAAAATTAGTTAGAGTAACATGATGAGATTCACATGATAATCCAAGTACTAGATACTCAAGATGTCCATAACCGGGGACACTACTAACCATGATTAGTTTATACACTCTGCAGATGTTTGCGCACTTTTCCCCACAAGACTCGATCTCCTCCGTTGGGATTCTCGCACTACATGATGTTTGAGAAACGGATGACCGAGACATAGTCTTTCAGAAGCGCTCAAACCTTACGAACGGGTAGATCGTTACACCTATTTTCCCCTACATCTGCTAGTCTACCACTGTAAGAGTTCGCACAACTTAGTCAACTATGCTAGAGCCCATAGTAGCTTGTGGCTGCACACGGAAGTTTCTAGTACGAATAATCTCATGATCCCTTTGAGCCTGGGTGGCGGTCCAAAAGAAAAACAGGCAATCGCTGGAATACCCAGGTGCCTCAATCCACCC